CTGATTCGGGGAGAGGCAGTCAGTTCAGCGCACTAACTATTTCACACAGCATCAGTTCTCAGTACCGCGGCGCGACCGCACGTCAAGAGAGGCCACGCCTCTGAAATCTCAGTATCAAAATGAAGCTAGTACTTTTATCAATATATTGCTAAGGAAAAATAAGCAAGTTGTGCTGAGCAAGCTGATTTCAGATTGCGGACTACTCCACATTTCTCAGTTCCGTTTTCGCCCTACTCCGCACTGTCCTCGGTGATTTCGACTTTTCGGCACTTTCGCAAACAAATCGCGTCCTTGGGCCGTTATTCTTTGTCACTTACGTGTTCTTCGTCTTCTTCGTACTGCTGGTGAGTGGGAAAGAGCAATAGATTTGGAGAAGCCACAGCTTGATGCGTGACAGCTCACCTTAGCCGCGCCCCTAGTTCGTGCGCCGCGCACGGCGAATATGCGTCATATGCAGCCAAACGGGCTTCCTGACAGGGGTCAATAGTCCGTTCAAATTATTCGAACGGTGGGCCGTGTTTCCGATTTTGGGAAATGGGATCGTAGTTGGGATGGAGCAAGGGTGATCTCTCTTGAAGAATTGCGAACGCGACAGTTGATCCTGCTCCTAACTCATGGAACTGAATAAATGAAGGCCCATGTGAAGCAGACGCCGAGCCGACATTCTTATAGAACATGTTCCTTGCAATCATCAACGACTCGTATGTCGAAGTAAAAGCCGAACTGGCACGCCAGAAAGATGGTTATGGTATTTTCGATTGGATTAGAAAGGTCAGTCACATTCGGGTACCCGACAGGAGGCCCGTCGCGCGGCAACAAGGCAGAGTCAGCGGACGAGTCGCAGCGCGTACTGTAGTGATTTCGCGTCAAGTTAAATAGAATGTACCATTGTACGTCCTACATCGCACATCACGCGCTGCGACTCGTCCGCTGACTCTGCCTTCTTGCCGCGCGACGGCCTCCTGTCGGGTACCCGTCATTGAGGGCTGTTGACCTTCAAGGCAATTGTAAAGAGACTGTTGTAGAAACTTACCGGTGGGAAGCGGAATGACAAGACACTTACTACTTACAACGACTACAAACTCGAATTGTTGACGTAAGTGAACCGATATCGCTCGAATCTCTGATAATAGCTCAGAGCTTATTGTTTTAGGGCTGGCTACAACGAGAAGGACGTTACGGACGCGTTCGAGAAGCTGAACATAGACCTTGACGACGAAGTCAACAATGACGTTAGTGACATCTTGCTCACAGACGGTTTGAAATTGCCTCCCTCCCCCTCTCAGGCCCATAGATATAAGGCTGCGAAAGTAGTAGGGCGTGGACTTCACTTGCAGAGCGTTGTTTTCGCTTTCTTGGGCTGGGATCAGCCTCATTCTTTTCCCTGAGCCACTGCTTCTTTTCTTTCGCAAAGAGCTCACCCGGCTGCCCATCTTCTAAGGAATTCTTCATGTCTTCGTTTCTATCAGTTGTAGTTATATCTTTGAATTCCAGGCTCTTGTTGAGGTTGGAAATGAGATCAGGGATCAGGTTGCCGCAAGAAAGTCATCGAGGAAGAGTATCGTTCAACCGCAGTGTAAGTGATTGGCTCACCGCGTGCATACTTGCAAACTTGCAGCAGGACATCCTAGCTGCTACTCTCGGTTTCAAATGTGTGAGCGCTAGGGTGGAGGCGAAGAACGTCAGCACCATTGCCAGGCCACATTGTCAGCTTGGACGCTCAGCATCGGCTATTACGCGCACCTCGCACTAGGCTTTAGGTCTGCCGAGTATAAACACAGATCGTATCGATCAGTAGATGGTTCATGGCTGCGTTTGTACTCGAATGCATGTATAACTTTGCTCATAGGGCTTTGTTTGAGATCCTTTGTGGTTTCAGACTGACTCGTCGCATTGACATGATGGATAACGCCATATTCAACGTGGTCGAGAAATTGTCAAAAACCATTGAAGCAACTGAACCGCATCGAATACTCCAAAGTGCTTGTGAAGGAACATCAAAACCAGCTGAAAGCCGATGTAAGTGATGAGAAAAAGCACCACAATCCTTACCAACACTTATCACCCCCATGAGCTTGCTCACTTCGATAAAAATTGGACATCGAATTCGCCAGCAGTCGAAATGTTGCAAGATACTGTGAAAAACCTTGTTCAGGCATTGAATTCTTATCGAGTATTAGTATTACCACTTATATTTCCATTCATAGCGCCTGGCAAGCGAATATTAGCTGGCAGGCCATACGGGCTGCCGCCGGCGTTAATGTTTTAAAGGAATCCTTAAAGGAATCTTCCACGGAAAAAGCTCCGCCCTCATTACCACAGAAAACGATACCTTAAAGGAATCTTCCACGGAAAGAGTGATCATTTTGTCTTGTGTGTAGGATTAGTATTATCGAAACTAACGCTTATGTTCCGTTCTTTTTGCTATGCTCATGAGGCTAGGGGCCTAAAGGTATCGTTTTTCTGTGGTAATGGAGGCGGAGCTTTTTCCGCGGAAGATTCCTTTAAAGCCGAAGTTGTGATGAGAATGCTGAGGTGCGAGCGATACCCACGATCTTCTGCATTTTCAGGTCCCTGTGCGGCAACGCGCGTGCAGCAAACCTGAGGACGCATCGTAGCTGTACAACTGCGTTTGCGCACGCGCTGGATTTTTCCAGCGGATAGTTTTCCACTACCTACGCGTGCGGTCCGGGGATTGAGTCCTGTCGTCGTGCGTCGTCCCGACTAACCAAGCTTTCCATCTCGATCAGTTGGCACCAGATAACATTGTTCATTTGTCCGGGAGGAGTCATTGTATAGGCCACATCGCATTCAAACGCCACTACGAATGTACAAATGGAAGTAGAATGCGTGCCGCATCCCAAAAGGGATTGATCAACGGCAAATGCTTTATCCTTTTATCCTTTCATAGGGGTGTGCCATGTCGCTATAACCATCCATTTTCAAGCTGGGCGAACACTTGAACTATGTGTATACCGCTCAAAGTTCTTCGCGAGCCGCGTCAAATGCGTACGACGTCGCGCAGTGACTTGGAGCCGCATTGGCATGATTGGCGCGCCATCCAAAAGTGAGGATATCTGGGTGTGCTGTTTTGATGGACCAGCATGGTGAAGGGAAAGCTTTAATGGAGTAGTTTTGACAGGAACAAAACATTTTTCGATGAATCAGTACCTCCAAGATCTAACTAAGTTTGATTTACTCGGATACATATTTTAGGAGATCCTATTCAATGCTCGCCTTGAAGACGGTCTTGGTGACGAATCGGAGTCCCACGAACACGAAGAGTGACAATCATGGACAAGATTGACCTTACTAATAAACTTTTCTGTGATTTTATAAAGTACCGCTTTCGCTGTATGAATGAACCTATTGTTCTAGAAATCAAATATTTGGCTTGTCGAAATGGTACACATACACCACAGAATTCACCTACAAGACAGTAAATATTGCTTCCATGACATTCCGCAGCGAATCATGCGTCGCGACCAAAGTTCGCGAAAAATTAGTAGCCACCAGCTAAGTTGGACAAACAGCGTTCACGACCCCGCATGGCAGACATTTTCTCGATTTTATTTAATCAGCAACGCAATGTTAAGATGACCGTATGCATAGCTGCCAAGCGAGTTCAATGTGCACGTATTTAACGGGGGTCTTTCACGGGTGATCACACAACGGCTATGCTACTCTTTCTGCTTATCGTCTCGTTTTCAACCATCACTTCGGCACAGGTGAGTGCAGAAGTTTCTCTGCAACGAATAAATGCAGGCTCAATTACGATTGAAACCGGGACCGACTAGATATCACTAAATTTTTATAAGCATTATTTTAGCGATCCATCCAGAGCTGTCATGTAACTTTAGGTTGAGGGGCCCAGGGAAACACGCGCGCGCACGCGCTCTCCTCGTCTGCACTCTTACAAGGGAGGTCTTTCAGGGCAAGGTGCGCTTTTTGGAAACGGTTTAGTACATGTTGTAGGGACGCATGTATGGACCACAAAACCATGTTTCGTTTTCGCTGAACGGTTTTAGTAGTACCAAAAAAAGTGGTGAATAATACTCTTGATGGTTCAATCCCCGCGGCGACTAAATTTTGCAATCAAGGTTGGCGGCCACTTGTTGGCTTCAAAATGGTCCTGACGATGAATTTGACATCTGATTTTGATATTTAGCGCGATTTGGCACCAAACCGTAGGCGCCAACCCAAATGCAAAATTTAGTCGCCACGGGGGATCGAACCCTTAACAGTACCCTTATGCTTTTTTTGGTACTGCTATAACCGTCCAGCGAAAATGAAGCATGGCTTTCCTACATGCGTCCTACAGACTATGGACCAAACTAATTTCTAAAAAACACCCTAAAAGACCTCCTTGTTAGCAGCTCTGTTTGCAAGTGCATTGCATTTCGGAAGCTGCCGAACGCGTGCGGCCGAAGCAGGAGCGGCCTTTAAGGACTGACCCCTTGAGGTGCAAGGAATGAGCAGAGCCCGACGCAAGGCGGCATGTGTCCTACCCCCATTTCAAAGAGGCTAGCATCAGCCAAACGCCAGGGAGGCGAAACCTTGAAAATATGTCTGATTTTCAGGAGGAAGGGGAATTCTTAGCTTGCTCTAGGGTGGGAAGGCCGTGCTTGCCGGTATTTAAACCCGCTTGGAAGAGGTGGGAATAAAGGCTCAGTTATTATGCAAGATTCAGTGGGGATGATTTTGTATAATCTTGTGGATCTCACCGGAACTTTACAGGAATTCAGAAATTTTTGTTACTTTTATAAGAACCGTGTACCCTTATTCGGGCTTTTAGTTTCTTTTTGCGGAATGCTAGAGTATCAAGGCGGCTCATGTAAATCTGGAGTAGAGGGAAGTTGAAGGAAAGGGGAGAACACTTGTAAAGGCTGCCAGATTTCTCATTTGTTGTCACACCGTACACTTCTCCAGTGCATACATAGGAAGGAGTACGGCACTCCTGATTTTCACGATAAGTCCCTTCCAGTAAAAATACTTTCCAGTTATGCACTCGAGAGGACTGCAATAACCGAGGATCATGTATGGGAATGAAAGCCGCTCCATTCTGCATGTGTGATTTTGGATTTTTCGGGACGAAATGTGAAAGCAGTACGTTTACTTGCATGTAATAGCAGAAAAGCTATTGTGGCGCTAGACACGTCCTGTTAGAAAGGTCGCTAATTAGTTGGAATGAGACGCGAGAACCGAATCTCGTCCCCAGCTGAACTTCTCAAACAACATAGCACTGTGCCTGTAAGATTCCACCGAGGAGGTGCACACTCGAACCATAAGATTCTGTGTCCATGCGACATTTGGGAGAGCCTTGACAAAAATGGCCGAGCTTCCGCTGTACCAACATGACTGATCATCTTGTTGGATGTGTGTGGTTGAAGTCAATTTGCTGATGCCTTCTGTATATTCTGACAATGTGTAGGAAATAGCTCGGGAGGTTCAATAGCGCGACGAGGGAAGCCAAGAGTCAGCGAACTAGAGATAGGAGATTTATAATTCACTGATCAGCAACCTTGAAAGTTGCCTTGACTATTTTACCGGTCATTTCAATAGGAACAAACGGTGACCAGGAATTTCTTCTTCAATTAGGACGTCCTGTTTGAGCTGAACTTAAACTTGCCCCAAATTTTTGAATAATTTCGTCCCATTATTGGTTACAAGTAAAGGGAAGTACTGGGTGTAGTAAGTAGTAGAAAAGTGAAACTGGTACTGTAGTAAAGTACTGACTCCCTTAGTCAATAGGAGATAACTTACTTGTCACTCACACCACCTTTCCATGGACAGCCCTGAGCTAGGCAGACAAGTCCTCACCAGCAGGCCTTAAAATAAACCCATCCTTAACCCCACTCCCTTTTCAACGTTCACCGGCCCTTGTCAATTCGAGAACTTTGACGGCCCCCCTTACAGTACACCCGTTCTGTCAGGATATGTCTCTCTAATAAATGAAACACTCTTTCTGATTTTTTCGCATATTTTTTTTTTTTTTTTTTTTTTTTTGTTTTTTTTTTTTTTTTTTTTGATTTTGAACGCCTTACTATCCTGAGGCTTTATCAATAAAGTCGTTGAAACGGTCAGCTTTCCGCGATCACCCAGATCACCTTCCAACTTCCATGAATACGACCTCTCCCCTTTCCATTCTTTGACCTTCAACACAACCCCACTTACGACACCCTCTCAAAATTCGCAAATACAGCCTCCCATTCGGACACGCGGGCCTGCGTCTCCAGCCCTCCACCCATAAGTTATGCCTTCTGCTGTGACTGTTAGACGACACAGTCGTATACCGCTCACCCCGTAACTTCGTTTGGAGATGCACAGGGTCGTATATGCAATCCCAATCCGCTATCGTGCTTATAGGTCCGTAAGAATTTTTGTGGATGTAAAAATGTTCCTTTGTAGGTATGGGTTCACAAGCTCTATGTGACTCAGCGACCGAGTTGCAGTGGTAATGGATTATGCATAGGTGGGTTGTGCTTCCGGAAGTAATTTCAAATATCTTGCTGTTTTCAATTGAGAGTAGAACATTTCCAGCTCTCATGTAAAGCTTTATGATTTTTCAGGTACTCAAGAGACAGTCACAGCTGTTCGTGCTTTCTTGGCTTTGAAGGAGAAAATTGCCAGAGCAGAGCTGGCGGTGGGTTATTTTTCCCCGATCCCAATTCTCTTCAAATTTCATGAAAATTAAGTCCGAAAAAACCTCTCCAGGTGGAAGAAAGTTATCAATAGAATGTGAAGTAACAATAATTGCGAATTTTTCTGCGATCACCGTAAAGTTGATAAAATCTGACGTACTACTACTATTGCGCAGTTGATCTGATGTTGAAATGCCACTATGAGCAGAGTCAAGCAGCTAGGAAGCCTGCGGAGCAGTTTGAATCTCCTGACCCACTCTTCTTCTTTATTACATACCTAATCACTTTTTACAGGAAGCAATTCACTACTACCCACAATGGCGGGTGCTTGTACGGCGGAAGACTGCAGTAATCAAGGTGTATGTGTTGGTACAAAGGATCTCCCATTCTGTCTGTGCAATCTAGGCAGGACTGGGATGTACTGTGAAAAGAGCATCAACTCTTTGCGTAAGGCTCAGTGTCTTCACCCAAATGCGCAGTAAATCCGTCAGATCCTATGTATTTCAGTGAACGCCGATCCTACAGCGCCAATAACACCCTGCTCACCAAGTGATTGCAACAACAAAGGCGTCTGCCTTGGCACGAAAAACTCGTACGTCTGTGCTTGTCAACTCGGTTATACAGGCAGCAACTGTGAAAACAGTAAGTTTTACCACCGCTCACAGAGTGAAACTCTTCGCCAAATTTCATAATTTGCTGATCTCACTACGATCGATAAACCTGGACCTGCAGCCAGCGGTTATACTAAAAATGCGCGCACTGCTCAGATGCAACAACGTGTCGCGACCGCGCGCGTCCCATGCCTGCCAAGTAGAGTGTGGCTACTGGTGGACTGCACGTGATCATCGAAGCTAATCTATCCAATTTCCAGCTCCGTTCACTCTTTGTGATCCACGTGACTGCGGATCCAATGGACTCTGCCTAGGTACCAAAGACAAATTCACGTGCGCTTGTCATCTAGGCTATTCTGGTGAACGATAATTGTAGTTTAACTTTTTTTTTTTTTTTTTTCTCGTCTTTATATAATATATTTATTTAATTGTGATTGTCTCAGTAATTTATCTTATTCATCCCTGTCAACTGTTAAACTGCTCAAGGGAGCTGTTGTCAAGTGGCAGGTGTCATTCCAGCATGGAACACTGAGCATAAGTTTTTTATTGCTGATCCTCAGAATTTTGCGGAGTGGCTCTTTTTAGTTCTGAATTAACTTCTTGTGTGAAGCTAAACGTCCACAAATTACCCGATGAAAGCGGAAACGAACATGTCCTTTCAGTATCGGGCACAATGTGTGAAGCATCCGATTGCAATTCGGCTGGTCTCTGTATTGGCACAAAGTCAAAGTTCAGTTGCGTTTGCAATCTCGGCTATACAGGGGATCGATGTGAGACTGCGGAGTCGGTCAGTTTGATGCGTTTTAACACTTTTTACGTTTCTTGTCTTGTATTCCTTCCTACAACTCGTATTACTCGAAAGAAGCATCGCTATAACGGGTGAAACTCCAGTTCGGGGGCCACTCCATTGCTATCTTATCCGTAGTACTAGAGAGCAGTTCTTTGGGCTATCGAACACTACGGATAAGATAATAAGTGAACGACTCATTTCGAGCGTACTTTTGATAAGGACCGGTGGATGTCCTACATTCCACACTACCTGCCCACATCCCATCCACTTTTCTGCACAGGTGATCCACCCTGGAGCTCCTGCACCCTTAGCCCTTTGCGGAGGTGTCCTTTCTCCTGGTCCAGGACCGTTCCCTTGGGTCATGGCAGGCGGAAATGTGAAAACGTTTCAGGGTTTCTCACCCATTACACCAATATTTATCAGAAGTCTACTTTAAATGAGTCGATTACGTGTCGTGAGCCCTCTAATCCTTATCTTGAGTATTGGAGAAAAATGGAGTGGCCCCCCCGAACTGGAGTTTCACCCCACTCCTTGCAGGAATTGCTTGCCGTCTCTATGAAACCACATTCCGTGAGCATTTTGGGAGTGTGTGCATAAGCTGGACCATTTCAGAGCTCGACGGCGGGCAGCAGGGTCGCTAGAGATTTCCCTCGACCTCAATCTAAGCCTTAGAATGATGTCATGTTTTTGCCTGTAGTTCCCTTTTCTCATCCTATATCCTACTTACGCCGTCGGGATCTCTCGGCGTGGTTGGTCGTGTCGTTCCACGTAATTAGTGAAAAGCTCTGAATCAAGTTGCAACCTAAGGCTTCAATTTTGGTGTTACAAGGCAGATTGCCACCGCATACCAAGCCAATGAGGCACATAACACCTACGCTATTGCACGTTGGCACCACACTTGGACATCAGGCTACCTGATGTGGATTTAGGTGTAGTAAGCCCAATGGTAACATCTGAAGGTTGTTACTCTACTGCTGAACACTCACCCGTCACAGCGTAAAATTCAGCATAAAGCCGT